GGGATGAGTAGCTGAACAGCATGTATGTGTATGCCTGCAACTGCGATCTCCCAATCGTACATGTGTGTTTGGGGTAATTATTTTAAATATCTATAGCTAAGGGAGATGATTGCCAACAGCCGTGAGTGGGCCCGTCAACGCGGGCTACTTCAAAAGAATCCCGTCCATGGCAAAGAAGAGTGGAAAATCCCAACCGAGTGCACCTTCTCCTTTACCAATGATGTACTTCAAGAAGCAAGCACCCGGGGAACTATGACAGCTGAGGACCAATTACTTGTTTAATATAGCCATCGCATTTTGCTATGCACCTTCCAAAGGGGTCAAAAGGCCTTATAGGATGATGAGGCCTTGTGACCCCCTCTTCCTTGTTCAAAACCTTTATCAGCTAGAGGATCCAGATGGGACTTTGATGTCCAATGATATCACATCTAACTTTGCTCTTGAGCAGCTTGGGCTTTGCTAGTTTCTTTCTTTTGTTGCAGCTTTTAAATGTGCACGTGCCTTCAAGTGTGTGTGTGTGTGTGCTGTAGCTTTTAGGTCCAGTGCTATGGGATCAACCGATGTCACTCATGGAGCTGCTCATTCAACTGCAGCTGCCAAAGAAGCTAAGACGACGTCTTTGCCTGTCCTTCAAGCAAACCAAGATGTTTTTAGCAGCTTGGTATGAGCCAGGTAACCCTCATGCCTGCTACCTGCCTGTTGTATTGTAGAACACTGGCGACTGTGATGCCAAGGCCTTTTGGCTACCTACTTGGATGTGGTCGGCAAGAAGGTTGACAAGACAGCAGAATTGGAGGCTTGATCCTGGGTTTGTTTCAATCTTCTGTTGTGCCTCCTGGGTTTGCCAGCTTAGTGATCTTAGTGGTCATTTCTGATTTTGGAAGGAGAAGTTGATCAACATGAAGGTTGACCGTGCCACACAGTGCCTTGGCTACTAACCTGGACCTCATGCAATTGTATGCGCACCATTTTTGCTTATTGCATGTTGAGGATGGCTGCAGAGCTCAAAACCAAGAAGCAAGAGCTGGAAGCACAGTATAAGAAGCTGTTGGGCTTCCAAATGAATTCCATCGCCTCGGAAGTTCCTCCAACCAGGACCCTTTCTTAACAGCAACAAAAACACAGCTATCTATAAGGGCCGCAAATGCCAGGACTGAGAAGCAGAACCTCATGCAAGTCTACATCGACACGACGAAGGCAGATACCGCCATCAACCACTTGACAACTCGAGCCAGGAGAGACTTTTAATCACAAGTTGTGCTACTGCGTTGCACTCGTGCACGAAAACTTCAGCCTGTGCCTGTGTCAGGACCATCAAGCCCGCAGTTGCCCCAAAGTCAAGCTCTGGCAAACGGACTGGTGCCAAGAAAGAGAACAAGACAGATTCCAAGAAAGATAAAAAGACAGATACCAAGAAGGACAAGAAAGAGAAAGTCAAAGATGAGCCAGAAGAGCCAGAAGAGCCCAAGTCGAAAAAGGCTAAGAAAGCCAAGTAGAGCTGTACGTGGTCAAGAATGGCCCTGTGTACGTGTGCATCAGATTTTGTTCAGTGCCATGTGGGGATGCTAAATGCCATGGTGCTGATGTAGATGGCTGATGGACATCAATATGCACCTCGTGACAAAAAAAGTATTGCCATTATTTCCATGTGGGCACTTGGTCATGTGGGAGCTGCAGCTGTCGTACATGCATATCGCACGAAATTGCAAGCCCTATTATGTCAGGTGGGGCCTCACCATCTCTATCCTCTTTCCTTTGTGGAGGCATGGCTAGGGGTGGTTTGGTGGGGCTTTCTTGCATTGCTGATGGTGGGTCGAAAAGTGGCATTGTAACCTGGAAATGTTCTACAGTAAGCCATTGGTTGAAAAAGGGTTGAAGTGGCTATGGTTCTGATGGTCATGGTGCCGCTCCCATCCAAGCTGGCCTTCCAAGGTCGAAGTGAGGAAGATGAGCGCCTGGAAACGGAGTTGGCACAGGAGCTCATGAATGATTACTATTCTGGTGTGATTCATTTGCACTAGAGTTGATCAACCAATCTCATGAACCCACAAACCATTACATATGTGAATGCTAGCTTAGGCTGAATCTGCCAAAAGGGTGTGTAAGCTGGCTTCAATGGTGACCAAACTTGGAGAAGGGAGTTTCTAGGTGGCATTTTCCAAATGACACACAAAGCAACCTGGAACTATTCCCCTTTGCCAAGGAAAAATGGAGCTATTATATCGAATTGCTTCAGCTGGCCGTAGTGTCACAAATGCTTCACGGAACCTTCACACGCTGATACACAAACGTGGTTGGACAGTCCCCCTTCGAATCCATACTGTTCAGATCCCAGTACGCAAGCGAAAGCCCAAGCTTCAGAAAGTTTGGGTGCACTACCCGGTGATTCTTCCTACGACATGGTTTAGCTATTTGCTGAGCGTGCACAGTATGTTGCTCCTATGTGGTCATGACATCAATCAGCAGGAATGCTGGGCCAAAGAGTTGCGCCACTTTTGGGCTATGTTTTTGAAGGCAGAACCAAATCATCCAATGGTGCAACCTGGGTCACCTCCAGCGCATTGCACGATTCCGCTGTACTTGCATGGAGATGAGGGAAGAGGAAAGTTTGCCCTCCCCATAATGGTTCAAGCGTTTCAACCTGTTGTGAGCTACAAGGGGCCCGAGTTCAAGAATTCAAGTGGGTATCTTGGAGTGTTTGCAAGTTTTTTGTTTCGATCTCTTGGGAGGGCGAAGGCCTGGTAGCTCATGTTAACACATGCGTGTGACTGCCGAGGCATTCAATGTGCACAAGGTTCCTGTTTTCTGTTCTACCTTCAGAACTATACTGGAAAGACCAATCACTAGAGCACCTCAACGGCTATTTGGCTGACAATCTGGTGAAATTGTTCCACGAGGGGGTGCAAGCAACTTGGTATTTGGCCACTATAGATGTTTGCTGCATAGTGTAGCTCTGTTCAACGTATTTGTGCATTGCTGGCTGCCCATTAGGTAAATGGCACCCGTTTCTATGGAGCGGTAGTTGGCATCAAGGGGGATTGGCCATACATCCGAAAGGCCTGGCAAGCCAAAACATGTTTAGGGAGGTAGAGGTGGAGCTGTGCTGCCAGGCCATGGCCCTCAACTGTGGCTACAACTGCAGTAGAAAGTGTCATCTTTGCAAAGCAACAGCCCCTTAGCTGTTTGTCCCCCATGGCCTCCCTAAAACCTTTGCTTATCACTGCCCAGGACTGGTGGAACATGACCACTGATGCTGAGTGGAGACAGGACAATCCAGAGGATTGCCCATCCCCGTTCAAGCCCGCCGGGTCGCCTTTGCTCTCCGTTCCGGGATTGACCTCACCAGGGTCAATCATGATTGACGCAGCCCACACGTGGCATATAGGGCCCTCCAACTGCACAAGTGCATGTGGATACCTGACACGCTTGTTACTTCCCAGTGGTTGTGTGGTTTTTGAAGGCAAGGTTTTGTCGGAGCTGAGGTATGGTAAAGACTTCGTTGCCAGTGGTGTTGTGCTTTTGGCAAAACTGAAATTATTTGAAGGGAGATCTCTAGATGCGCGACTGGAGTGTGCGTTCAAGCTTTTCATCATATGGTGTGGGAAGCACAAGAAGAACACCAATATCCACAGTTTCTCAAAGAAGAGTTTCAAGATGCAATGGACACTTGGTGATAGCCTAGAACCCTTGCATTCTTCTGGATCCTGTTCTTTTTGCTCGGGTGCTACCAACCTGTGACTGCACGCAGCTAGGAACACATCATTCCCGACATCTACTGGTGGCAAAGGTGCTGATACAGCTATCTTGTCAGCCTGGCTGGAGCATGTGATGAACAACATGGACATTTGGTTGGTCGTACTTTTTAGTGTGCTAGCGCTAGCTTTGAACTTTCGCGTGCATGCTTACAACTGCATGTGTAGCCTCTGCCCTGAGGATTGCGAGGAACCATTGTTTCAGATGCTCCAGTATGCGGTGCGTTGCAGCAACTGCTTTTACCGGCTGTTGTACTGGAGAGGTTTGTGGTTAAAACCTCATGAGTGCAAGTATGCCGCGTGTGCTGTTCAGGAAATGACAGTAACTCAACTCATGTATACTCATGTTGTTATGCATGGGTAGCATGCTGTGTCAGTTTTACACACAGATTGGTGTATGATTTGTTTGGCATACTTTCTGAGGAATTTTACTGCTCTTTGGCCTCTCTTTGCCAAGAGAGGAACATGAACCTTTTCTACATCCGGCCCAAAGTGCACATGTCTTCGCACGAAGGGTTTCTTGTAAGAACATGAAGGAACATTAGGAACATGCTTTGGGGGAACCATGAGCTCACCCACTTCTAAGGATCAAACTTGGAAAGTTGGCGCAACAGAATCACCACGGTGTCAAACCACTAAGTGCTTGCCTAAGAGTGGTGTTTGCAAACCTCTACCTGTGTGGCTTGTGAGGATCTTGTGGGTAGAGTCTCACAGGTAGCTAGATCTGCTGGCACTCATGCTCTTAGTTGCACTTTGAGGTGCACCCAAAAAATCTTGGGTGAATACCAGAAGCAATTCAACCTCCTGAATGGCTGAGCTCCCGAGCGAGAAAAGTGAAGTGGGCAAAAGCGGGCAGGATCGGGCTGATTTCGAGCCAACGGGCAAGAACTCAGAAAGCGAGCAGAAACCATCCTCGTGCAAAAATAAATGCACTTTTGAATCCCCAGGATGTATATGTATATGTATACGTATGCTGTACGGTTTGTGGAGGTATTTATTTTCAGACTTGTATTTCGTGGAGCCGTAGTTGACTCCTCAAATTCCTTCATGTTGACTTCATGAATTCCCTTTTTCTCATTTTTTGTCATCATTTGGTACCTCGGCCAATTTGTCTTGATGATGCGAGCGAAAGGGCTTCTCTTGGGGCCGCAGCCTTTGGCTGACACGAAACCGGTGTGGATGCGGAGTTCAAATGTGGCAGGATTTTTTTGAGACACTGTCCTCACTCAAGCCAACGCCACGCCTAAGGTTTATGTCCTGTGAGGGCACAGACGTCATCAAGAGGGTTACCTGGGATACTCGGCCTTGATGAGACAGATCGCCCAAAGATCCGAGATGGAAAACCACATTTCGTTTGCCACGCCCCAGAGTCCAGAGTCCTGAGTCCTCCCCAGTGCTCTTGTCTATGAGGAAAAAGCACCATTTGTGTGTGCTTGCGGCCAGTTCTTCTCTTAAGTCTTTGCAAACGCATCCGTTGATGATCTCGGTGGGATCAACAATGAGTAGATGATTGACCTCTCTTAGTCTTGTCGGGTCGATCTTGTAGGGTCCGCGTCGTGTGGTCCACCAAGCACCATCACCCCGGATGCTTATACCAGCAAGGTTTCCGTTCAATGGGAAGTTTGAATGTTTAAATTGGACTTTCAATTCGGTTCAGTTCGGTTCCAATCAGTTCGAGACCCTTCCCGTTATACTCGCGTCCAGTCTTGGCCCTGGTCTCAGGAGCATGTGCACATCCTGGTGGACAAGTGGCCCGATATCGACCTACCACACTCCCGCGTCATCCGTAAGGCGCACGCCGTGTTTTTCACACCGACTTTCTTGGTTTGAGTCCGGTGTACCGGAAGAGGTGCGAAGGACCTGTTGGGAGAAGATTGGGGACCTTGGGAAAGAAGTGGAGTTGGGACTTCTTTGCGAAGAAGTGGGTTGGCGGAAATTACGATATTTGCAAACATGGGTTGGTTGAACGAACATGGGTTGACATTGGTTGACTTGCCGAACTGCCATGATTCACTTTCACAATTATAGATCGGGTCCAGGGACGATGCTACAGAAACAAGAAATCAACCTCGCAGCTCGTCATCATTTGAGGAATCGGAGTCACTTCATCCTCCAATCTGCGGAATCGGAGTCCTGTGAGGGATCGAGATCGTTCCGAGACAAGACGATCCGCAGACGATTCGGGCGGAGATCGGGCAGATCGACGGCAGGTGCTCTGGGCGATCACGCACAATGAGATGTTGGAGGACAGGGAGTAAGCTTCCGATTCGCCGACCAGAAACGATGTATGTACTGATACTGTATTCACCAGGTGATCTTTATTGGGTATAAGCATATCATGATTTGATCTTGACTGCTTGCAGGATTTCCCGTCAATGACCAGTCTGGAAAAAGAAAAACAACTTTTGGAGGAATGGATTGTCACTTGCTCTCAATCCAAGATCTTTTGTCGCAGGAGAGAAACTCTGCAAGTCTCCAACTCTTGTCCTTAAAGTACTCATTTCAGAGACTCCTTTGATTTGACATTCTTTTTTTCTTTGGAGCGTCTTTTTGTTCTCACCTCAATTCCTCTCACCATCGGCACATCGTCCCAGGAGCACTTCCAGGACTGCGGATTCGCCCTGGCAACGCCACTCGGTCACACCGGGGTCGAGGGAGCTCGGAGACTGGCTGGAGTTTGCTTCAGAAGTGAAGCCAGTTACGTGGGTTTGACTAGCCTTCCAGTGAAGGGCGGGAATCCAAATGCGAAGCAAGATTATAAGATTGCAATGGAGCCCAAGGCTTGCAGCTTTAGTACTCTTGACTCTAGACCAATACTAATAGAACATACTGAGATCGCTGAGATATTAGCCAACCATTTCTTTCCTCATGGTGTATCATGTGTAGCACATTATCATGTGGGAACGAGATTGTTTCGATTGCTTGTGCTGGGAAATGCATCGGATTTACAGACAACTACATGTAGCGTCATATACCGTATACATCCGCGTACCATCATGAATCCTTGCCCCACTGCTGTCGCAATTCGCCCGTGTGAACAAGCATAGAGTTTTATGCAGGACCCTTTACAGGAGAAGGCGGTTTTTCTGGATTTCCTGAGAATAATTCTACGGACCATTTTTTAAAAATCGATTCTGCTGAGTCAGTGGTGCAAAATTCCAGGCGCGAGCTTTCACTCCACAAAGTCCTGAGGATCATCTTAGTGGCCTTGAGGGCCATTGACTATGACGATGGTCCTGAAGAAGCACAAAAGATGCTGCCCAGCACAGATTGACATGGTCCTGCAAGCGTTGATCCTCATGAGCCGTGAGCAGGCGACCTAAAATGTCTTTGGTCACCTCCGGGCTTGTCGTTCACATCTAGTGACTAGTGAATCTGGTGTATCCTCTCTTGAATTGGAAGGTGAGCTGCCAGGGTTTATGTCTATGTTCAATTCACCCACAGTTTTATCCTTTGGATTGATCACAGGAATTTTTGACAGCTTTGCAACATCCGGCACTGCCCACACCAACCATTTGGGGTGGTTTGATGTGGTTTGCACTGTTTACTTCTTCCTCCCGACTCCCGTCCATTTGTTTAACATTCAAACGTTCGGAACAGTGAGGTGGAGTCTATCCATTCTTTTGGTGTGATCTGGATAACCAGTCTCCAATTTCAACGGGCATCAGAAGACCGACAGCCTGGTTGGCTAGAATCTGTGGTTGACAAAAGTTTAATGCTTGGACACATCTTTGATCTTCGGGGCTACTGCCTCGAGTGAAAAAGAGATCTATATAATATTCTTGTCAGGAAGATGCATGGAAGACGACTCCTTTACAGTACGTCAGCCAGTTTGTACTGTAAATCCAAGATACTTGGACTTTGTTGTCGGTGTGTCATCCAGGATCCTTTCTCCCCATTGTTGAGAAAGGTCGTCCAATGAAATCGGAACCTGTTGGGACCCCCATGGCGATTGGTCAGAGGACCTGCCCCTGGCAAGCTGAGGCTTAGGTTTTTCAGGGCAACTTCCAAGGATGTGCTGTCCATGCCAAGGGTCTCTATGTATTCATGCCAAACCAAATCAAAAGCGTCCCTCAAAATGACCGGTGACCATGTTGCTCCTTTTGTGGCGAGGTTTCTCTACTTGACGGAGCAGGTGCTTCCCAGGTTGGAGCCCCACATGGCCTTGGCCGCGCGCGACGACTGGGCCTTGGACCTGACGGATCTCAGGCGGGCATGGTGCGGAATGGGCAGCTGAAGCGGTGTGAGACTTGGGAGCTTGGTGGTGGGGTAGTGTGGTAGTGTATGCGAGCGTGGCGGTTCTTGGTTCTTGGTAGCTTGATCAGTGGCTTCCTGATTGCGCTTGGATTTAGCTACTTGTAGTTTGCGTTGGGTCGTGCTGGGTGATGGCAGTGCGAGTGTGCTGGGAGCGGCCGAGTATTAACCAAGGCTGCAAAGAGACAACCAAGCCTTTAGGGGAAGATCGGGAAGATGCTGTTCCGATATCTTTCTTTGAACAAGGAGGTCTTCCAGTTTCTATAATTGTTTTTGCGGAGCGGAGGAGTGTTCTTGGGTAGATCAACCCATTGGAAACTCTGAGGTGCATATGAATTTGCTGCAACATGATCAAAATCTCAAGCCGCAGAACTTCTCAAAATCATAGCTTCCACTGCTTGAGCTGCAGAATACTATCTAGCACAAGCTATAGTGTCCATTAGTGTCCTCTTTGTGTAGACAGGGCGCCAGAATGGGGTGACAGGGCAGGTGTCAAGATTCGATCGCCACTTCGACGATGTGCAGGATCTATCCATTTCTCCTTGGACTGACTCCACAGCACAACTGCTACGAGAGCGACCTGCGCATCTTCGTCTACGACCTTCCGCAGCTGACGCGAGGGGTGCTGCATTGCCACCACGGACAGTGGGGATTGGAAGCCACTTGGCCAAGAAGAAGGCTTACAGCAGGAGTTCCAAGGGAGTTTTAGCTAGATACCGGTCCGACACCCACGCACACTTTAGCTTACTTTAGGATGTGAACTATATCGCAGGTATTTCTCTCATGTACCCGAGTCGTCCGTTTTTGGCGTATCATCGGTGCTGTGTGGAAGATCTATGTTGTGTCTTGCACGTGTTTAACTGACTGATGGGTTCCTGAGAGTATTAGAGAATTCAAGCAAACCTTGTTGCAGGATTCGGATCGCGCAAAGTCAGAGAGGTGTTTAGCGCGACATGGCTTTGCAAACACATAACTAGGTGGCAGACTAGTAGAAGAATGTGGTTTGAGGATTGCTGGACAATCGTAAAGCAAGTGCCATTATAGCCTAAGCCGGGGCTCAGGGTTGACATTCTTGGTTCCAGATTTTTCAGTTGGTGCAGAGTTTTTTCAAGCTTGATTGGCTACGTTATATACATGTTCTCGACCCCTAACATAAGGCGTCGTATGACATACACATCCTGAAAACATCATGGAAGTGGAAAACGACCACCTACATAGAATTCGGATCTTGTCCACCATGATCATTCCAGGAAATGTAATTCAGACTGTTTCACTATGCTTCACCGGATTGGTACCAGTTTTTCATTGGTGAAATTGGTGAAACTCACAGCGTTTTATTGGTTATACTTCCGTGGGTCATGTTCGATCACCCCAATCTTCTTGGGATCCATTGGTGATGTGCGAGGCCTTGATTCCACACTGGCTCCGCCGTGGCTCCTGCCGGACTGAAGACCCAGAGGACGACTTTTTCTATCCGGCGGATGTTTCCAGGGAGACAACCGAGGAAGATGCAAAAAACATGGCTGGAAATGGATTGGATTGGTGAACGGCCGTTGGTAAGACGACTTTGATAGGAGGTCCGAGGTGTACCACATGTTTCTACACTTAATTTGATGGGGTCGTCGTTCATTCCTGTGAGAGGGGGAGTACCATGGTAATTGCAATGTGTTTTTGTTCGTTTCAGGCGTGGTGGTAGAAATCATGGACAAAGCGCCTTTTCTATGAGATGTACCTTCGGCGACTTAGGGGTAGTGTTATTCTATCAAGGTATTCCGAGATATGGAATATAAAACACAAGCCACTCAGGTTGCTATTGTTCGGTCTATTGTCACATACTGCTTTGAGTTTGAAGATTGTACAAAATAGTGGAACTGGATTTTTAAAGGCATAAACCATATCCCTTACACGGCACGCACACACACGCACACATACAGACCATCACACCCACCCACCTACTCTGAGATCACGGTAGATTTGTTCGATGTCCCCTGAGTTTCTGACGTTTGAAGATGAATGCAAAGGAGTTTTGGGAAGTATATGGAAGCATATAAATGCACATCAAGCAGCCAGCAGCCAGGGCCAAAACTGCATAAAATGATGATCGGATGGCCATGTGTCGCGGTGTAGGATTCCCAGTACCATTTCTGGATTCCCAGCGGGTCTTCACAAGCTTCACTATCTCTTGTGGAGCCATATGCCTTGATTCTCCTCCTAAATCTCAAACTATGTGACATGTGGATATTTGGTTCAATTCTTTCGGGGAGGCTTAGAAGGACAAGTCGCACAAGCGGCATAGATCATTTCAAGTAGGAAAAGCTGTGTCAGTACCTATGCAGGAGGCGGATTTCTTCTTGGTTCCATGGCATACCTGGTGCGATCGCATTGTCTACAAGATGAACCAAACCCGGCGCGCTGCTTGCATGCAGCAGGGCGGGGGTAAACAAGATGGATCTACATATATAGGCTCTATAAGAGGGTTGTTGGGATGCTTATTGCATTTTGGTTACAAATATCATAAGGACTGTATAGAGGGGGGCGAAGCAAGATGGTGCACAAGTGCCTCATTGTTGCAAATGTGTTTCTCCACATTCAGCATCGATGAAGGTTCCAACAACGTGGAGTTCTTCCCTCTTGCACCAGCACAGGGACTTCAGCACGTGTCCACACGATTCTGAGGACGATGGAGGGCACGTGGTAAGACCCCAGAGGTTCACCTGCTCAAAAGTCTCAAAAGCACGTGGTGGGCACTCAGTAGGTACCATCTGAAAAATGATGCTTTGCCTACCCAGGAACAGCTGATAACTCACCCTTCAACCTTTTTTTTGGGGGGATGGGTTCCCCCACTAAACCTTTAAAGGTTAACCGTCCCTTTTCCAGGGATCGGCCGCATCGGACCGCGCCCGTTCGACCTGGACCGGCATCGTGGTAGATGCAGATTGACAAGGCAAGACTGCATCATTTATATATAATCCCCAAGCTCCCAGCCTGATGGTGGATCGTTCACGATTGGCATCGTGGAATGTGTGAGACTTCCAGTGTATTTCAGGAAGTCTCTGCAGTGTACATCGATCTCATGAAACGAAGGAGCGGGCAAGCGGGCGCTGGGTATGACAGGGCGGATCGATTCGCCGATCGAGCCAACCTGCACAGCTAGTCTCACGGCCATGATGACCAGAAGATGACAAGAATTCAATTTATTTTGGTCATGAGGTCCCAGAGTAACCAACAATAATATGCGTTGGCGTTCTTGATTATTTTTGGTGGTGATGATGGTGATGATGATGATGATGATTATGTGTGTTGAAGAACTCAAGCCTTTGGTAACAGCCTGGTCACATCTGGCCCCTTCTTGGATTTGGACCGCCCTGCTCTTGGCCCTTCCCTTGTGCCTCTTTAGTTCCTGTCACGCAGAAAGACTCATGATGGAACGGTTTATGGATGGTTCGTGAGTCGTGGTCGGGCCCATTTGTCTCTTCCCTGTGGCACCCAAGTCAGTGAGGGTGCTCAGGGTCTTATTGTCAGGCCGTTTACGCCGTATAAACCTAATGAACGATACAGCCGATGGGATCACTTCGGTCGCCATTTGCCCCTTCATTCTCCCATCTTGGCTGTTACCATTGTGACCTAACAGATTAACTCCTAGAGACAAATGGGCCCGACCACGACTCACGAACCATCCATAAACCGTTCCATCATGAGTCTTTCTGCGTGACAGAAACTAAAGAGGCACAAGGGAAGGGCCAAGAGCAGGGGGGCCCAGATCCAAGAAGGGGCCCAGTCTGAGTCAGACACGGCTGTAAGCGAGGGAAAGGATATGAGAGACAAAGCCGAAATATGTTCTATTTAACTTCATCCTAAATATATTGGCTGTCCTAAGATGCAAAAGACAAGACATGTATTATCTAACCCACCATTGTATGATTTCTATCTCTTATTCTTTATGGACTCTTCTTATTTTCATGAATTTTGGTAGATGGAAAAATCATGTATGACCAAAATTCAATAAGAAGAGTGAATAAGAGATAGACCATCGTTTTTATTGCAATATTAAACATTTCTTAATGCGTTAGAATAAATATGATGGACCACCAATCCATAAAGTAATTCATTGAAAATGGATTGGTGGGTTGGTCCCTTTTCATTCATCTCTTCTTTAACTTGTTTCTTTGGTGATGAATGAAACGGAAGGAAGATACCACAAAATTGAGTTCAGCTAGTGATTTGGGGTTCATCATGTAGGTCCAGACCGGTCCAGAGGTGCATCGAAAAGGATACCATAGCAATTCTTGATTTCACAAGCCCTGAATGCTTCTACATCTCGAGTCCTGTGGATTTGATTGCCAGCCAACATTCGAGGGAAACATTACAGCACCGGCCATGGTGCAAGTTTGACCGAACCGTGGTTTCCGCTCGACCATTTGAAGGACGAGAGGTGGAGAGGTCGAGCGTCACAAAGGACGAGCGTCACAAAGGAGGGATGCCCACACTCTGACATTGGTTTTCAGTTAACTCAATTGCCACGATGGGAAGGAAGGTGAGAAACGGTATGGTGGAGAGTCCGCAATACTTGAAGATGTTTTAACAAAAGCTGTTTCGCAAGTCTGCAGAACTCAACGGCAAACCTCTAGGGCCTGGAGGTCTTGAAGAGGAAGCAAGGCCAAAAGCTCAATGCGTGACTGCAGAAAAGGTTTAAACAATTGAAAGGCAGGTACGTCAGTGCTGGCCGGGCACTGATATCACATCCACTTGGTGCGGTCTTTGTTAGATGAGGCACACCAAGGGATCCTCATCCCCCTGCTTCTTTTTGCGCGCTTTGTACATGTTAAAAAATTGACAAGCTGTACGCTAATAGCGATACTAGGAGCCTTTAGTAGCGAAACCGGGGGCCCTTAGTAGCGTCCTTTGTGACTCGAAACCTTAGGGACAGGTGTGGACACACACACACACGGCGCCGTACTCGGCGCGCTCTCCTACCTGCAAACTAGTAGTGAGGCCAGAAGTCCCTAGTAGCGTCCTTGCTCCCCGTAGACCGGCCAGAGGCCCCTATAGTAGTACCGTCCTTGCTCCTAGTAGCGATCTGTTGGCAACAACTTTGTACACATAACGCCAATATTGGCGTTCCGGAAAACTACTAGTCACCTAAAAGGCCTTAGAAAGACAGACCAAGAAAACAAAACAAGAGCAGACTAAGAGGGCAAGAAGGAAAGATAGGCATAGTGACGAGGCCCACTTAGTTAAATGAAAGTAGTTCGCGAGCGGGACTTTTGTCTTAGACCGCTCGGGTAGCTAGCAATAGATAGGAGAAACAGAAGGAAAGGCACCAACACACAAGTGTGTTGAGTGCGATTTCCTTTTGTTTCCCGAATAGCAGGTGGGATAGCAACAGAGGCCTGGGGTAGGGGGGGAAAAAAGACACTAGACATTACTGCAAGTTCGAAGTCGGAACATGTAGTGACTCATAACGACACATGACGGTGCAAGTGGATTCAGTCTGTCAAAAAGGAATTCCATCGTTTATAGCCCGGCGGCTCGAAACTCCGTTAATTCAGTTATACAAGTGGAAAACGTGGAATCAGTTATGAAAGTGGAAAACAGTGAGTTCCGGCATGGCTTCGGCGCCCCACTGAAGGGGATCACACCCAGCACCCAAGTGGGAAGACTGAGCGGCTCACACTCTGACATTGGTTTTCAGTTAACTCAATTGCCACGATGGGAAGGAAGGTGAGAAACGGTATGGTGGAGAGTCCGCAATACTTGAAGATGTTTTAACAAAAGCTGTTTCGCAAGTCTGCAGAACTCAACGGCAAAACCTCTGGGGCCTGGAGGTCTTGAAGAGGAAGCAAGGCCAAAAGCTCAATGCGTGACTGCAGAAAAGGTTTAAAACATTGAAAGGCAGGTACGTCAGTGCTGGCCGGGCACTGATATCACATCCACTTGGTGCGGTCTTTGTTAGATGAGGCACACCAAGGGATCCTCATCCCCCTGCTTCTTTTTTGCGCGCTTTGTACATGTTAAAAAATTGACAAGCTGCACGCTAATAGCGATACTAGGAGCCTTTAGTAGCGAAACCGGGGGCCCTTAGTAGCGTCCTTTGTGACTCGAAACCTTAGGGACAGGTGTGGACACACACACACACAGTACACACTTGAGATTTTTGTGGTTCATTGGAGGTGTGGATTCCATGAACAGTACCAGCCCAGGATGAGGTCATGAAGAACTACAGTTTTCTCGGTAAAACTTGCTTGCATCTTTGGTCGGAAGTAGACCGGATCCCAGGCATGAGATTGGGGTGACTCATTGATTTGTTAGGGACTGGTCCGTTCAGATAGTGGCTAGCCTCGTTGAAATGTGATCCAAACCCGTACACCTGGTGATGATTGGTGATGCACCTCCCATGTTTTTCGGAACCTCGTGTTTTCTTCGTTGCCCAGTGGCCCATGGGCCGTGTGGCAAGCCCTCCATGCGTGGCTTCGCTCGGCTGTGTTCGACATGTAACAGGCATGAAGTCCTACCTCATTGGACGAAGAATGATGGTCATGATCACGTGTCTCCTGGCACGTTTGCGATTTGGGCGGATCCCGGGAGATGGCATACGCACTTTTTTGACACCGGGATGGCATTCGAGACCAGTTGGTGCTCAGAGTCTGGATCCGGACCAAAAACAGCGGACTGAGTGATGGCATGCTATGGCCAGAATCTGAGAGAAGCTAGGGACATTGAGGGACAGTGACACAAGAGACCACAGGCCACAGGATCTCCCTTTTTGGGGGGGTCACCCTGGCAGTGGGCAGGTTTTGTAGCTTCAATTGGGCAGGTCCACTGGGTGATGACTATGTGACAGCGCGAGCGGTTCAGGTTCATCTTCTCCGACCAGGGCATGAATTTCTTCCCAGCTCCTGGGCCCAGTGGAGCCGTCCCGTGTCGTTTTTCCGTTTTCTGGGTTCCACGGTCCGATGCGTCATACTTGGGCGCGCCACCTGTCGAAGGATCCCTCTAACATCCTCTAACGCTCCACCTGTGTTGCCGTGCTTACTTGCGGGTTGTGCATCAGCCCTGAACAAGGTGTCCAGGAGAAAATCGTGGCTTGGACCAGATCGATCACTTGAGAACGCTTGGGTTTTCGCTGACTTTTCCAACCACTTGAAGTTCAAAAACCCTTCAAGGGGTTCGAGTCAAAACAGTGCAAGTCCCAAGTCCCCCCAAGACCGGGGCGAAGTGAAACCAGCTGATCCTCCTTTGATCCTATCATATTTTGTCATATCATATCACAAAGTCCAAAAGTTGCCAATTCACACCACTGTCTGGAAAACATCGGTATATATAAATTGATAGGCGGCTCTCATTTGATTATTGCCTTTTATAGACACGGAAAGGACCAAAAAACACCCTGTAATTGTTTTCATTCGCGGCAAGCTTCCAATGTAATTCATATGCATTACTGTATCCCGATGTATCCCGCATCATTTGTTGAGACCGATGTTACTGTAAGCTTCGACTCAACCCCCATCAGGTCTCAACACCCCCGACTTGCTGCGAGACGCACTCGGTCTCCAACAGCGAGGAATGGCGAGACTACATCCCTAACTCGGTCTTCGTGGTCACTGAAGCACTGACACCCCGCTGTGGTCCAAGCTGTTTCAATCCCTGGAAGGACGGGGTGGGACTGTTGGGACCAAGTCTGGTTTGCTGCATGGCCACTGGCGAGCTTCGTTTCTGTTTGGAAGAGTTCTATGCATCAATACAGTGGTGTAGCCGGGTGGGTAGCGGAAGACGGTTGTGAGGCTTGATCCTTTAGCAGATGATTTGTAAGACATGGTTTGGCTCATGAGTATCGCATGTAGATTGGGAGGTGGAGTGCTCAAAAAACACATTTCCTTGGTGTCCAGATTTCCTTCCCGAGAAATGATTTTATACAGCTTTTCTGGTGTTGGTTGATGATATTTGGTGATGTGATAATTATGAATGAGTCCCCCCTCCTTTGATCGTGCTTCCTGAGAGCGGTTTTCCCTCCTTTGCTTTCATACATTATTGGGAACCCTAGGACTGCTACAGTTTCCTGAAATGGGCCTGTGGCATTGCAGATCCCGCAACCATACAAAGCAATCAGGGCCACGCGCATTCTCCCCACAAGCATTGCCGACACCACGATTCTGTGATGTCCCCCACCCCCTAGCATATATTTCCTTGCTAAAAGGTAAGCTTCCTGGGAGCGATGCCCCCCAGGCTTCCATCTTGGGAGTGGTGACCCCCCCTCCTGGCATACATTTTTCAAGAAAGAAAGTAACATGTATGGCAGAATTGGGGTCCATCTCCCCTATGCAACAATTTTTTTTTGGGGGGGTCGCTCCAGAGATCAGGTTGTTTGTTGGAGATGGACAGAACGAGGCAGAGCTCCAAGCCACCTGTACCTACGGCGGTGTCCACGCGCTTGAGTTAATGGGCTTCCGAAATAAGTAGCCCGAGCTACTAAGAGCCTCATGAGTCATGAGAATCCACGCGTTTGAGACAACCACACCGCACATCAGTTTGACCGAGCTCGGCCCTGTAGGGCTTCAAATTGGCAAGTTTTTTCCCAAACAGCTTTGCGGTGAGGGGCTCTCAATTCTTGCATAGAAATGATGCTGGGCCAAGATGATTCCCGCCCTTTGTCTCCCCTTGTCTCCCATAGCGTGTCTGGATGCTGGACTGAGATGATTTTGCTTTTTCTTCCTTTGTCTCCCGTTGTCTCCCATGGCATGTCTGGATGCTGGGCTCAGATTCCCTTCGGCTCCCCTTGTCTCCCATGGCATGTCTGGATGCTGGGCTGAGATTCCCTTCGGCTCCCCTTGTCTCCCATGGCATGTCTGGATGCTGGGCTGAGAT